CTTTCCCCCTGGAGTGGGGAGGGAATGGGGATTTTGCAGTATCCTTCACCTGGAGTGGGGTGGGAATGGAGATTTCGCAGTATCCTTCCCCTGCCACACCCGCCACACCACACCACGCCCACCAAGCCACGCCCACAGAACCGGTAGTAAAAAAAATTGGATTTCACCACTGGATGAATAGATATAGATATAGATTTAGATATAGATATAGATATAGATATAGAAAGATGGATAGATAGTTATAGAGATAGATAGCTAGATAGAGATAGATAGATAGATAGATAGATAGATAGATAGATAGATAGATAGAGGTAGGTAGGTAGATAGGTAGATAGGTAGATAGGTAGAGATGGATGGATGGATGGATGGATGGATGGATGGATGGATGGATGGATAGATGGATGGCTAAGCAAAGCAAAGTTTCGCTTTTGCAGACCATTTCTGGCTCACTAACAATCCCCAAAAGCTGTGTTGGCATGGCCCATGAAGCCAGAAGAAACCTCATCATAGTGTGTTCTGTGAATGATTCAACTTGGCTCCTGTGGTTTATAAATCAGGGTTGATGATTTAGCATGTTATGTAACTTCTGCTCCTAGCCTACAAGCTAGGCTTCACACAACTTAATGGTTGGGTTCAGGTAACTCACAAAGCCACATGATTTTGTGAACTCACTTGCTCTTTTTACCTACAGATTGGTCTCATGCATTAGCACAAACCATGGTTTGCTAAATAATCCACAATTAGCTGGGTCCATGAAGGCTGGCATACCAGAAGGATGAAAAAGGCCAAGCCAAGTTTGTCAGATCCAGCATTGTTGCTAGGACAAAGGATCTTCCCAGACATCAGAAGACTCAAACAGACAAGGTTGCATCTCCAAAGGCAAAGAAAGACAGGCAGTAGGGACAAACCATGATGATACCAGAATGATGGCCTTCCCCACCCTCCCTGGAGGCCCTCCGGAGGCCAGAAACAGGCCTCCGGAAGGTCTCCGGAGGGGCGGGGAAGTCCATTTTCACCCTCCCCAGACTCCTAGAAAGGCTCTGGAGCCCGGTGAGAGAGAAAAATGGGCCTACCGGGCCACCGCGTGCCAGGAGCGGGGGGATCGCACGCACATGCGAGGGGGTGGGGCACATAGAATTATGGGTGTGGACCCGCCCACGCGTGACCCCCCCTTCCCTGGCACGCGATGGCAAAAAGGTTGACCATCACTGATCTAGGTGGTCGCTAGGAGTCCAAAATTATTTGCTGTCCCAAAATGTAGCTTCATTGCAACTTGGTCTGTTGCATGACACCGGTTGATATGCCATGATTTGAGGCTTTGACTCAGAGGTGGTATTCACTTACCTTTGCTACCAGTTGGCAAATGTGAGTGCCCGCGCCACCTCCGCGCATGCGCAGAACCTTCCACGCATGTGCAGAGTGTCAAAAACGGGACATGATGACATCCAGGCGGGTGGGCGGAGGCTCCCGCAGCCTGGTTCCCCGAACCGGCTGAATACCACCACTGCTTTGACTGTTTCATGGATGTTAGTCCTTGGTGACTTATTTAATAATTCATTTTAATAATGCGATGTATTATTCTAGAAGACAATCCTTGGAAAAATAGCCCGGGGCTATTAAGAGGCATCCCTCAGAAGCCACAGTGATTTCATTTGCATAATGACATAATGACACAATGTCACTTCTCTCCTTGTTCCCCTTCTGCCCAGGCGCCCAAGGACACGGATGTCAGAAGCGCGGCAAGGAAAACCTAATTCCAATGTTGCATGCAAGTAACGGTATATACTTTCCCTTCCCCTCCAAACAATATATTACAATAGTGGCCAAAATTGTGGAAACCTTTTGGGAAAAGTGTATTTTCTTAAACTAGCTAATAATAACACTTTTTTTTTTTTTTTTTGGAATAGTACCATAAAATTATATATCAATGGAGAGATCATTTAATCAAGAATGTAATGCAATAACTTTTATGATTTAGGATTTGCTATTAGAATAGCAGTTACACTATAAGGAAGAAAAGTGAAACACATAGAAAAAATGAGATACACAAAAATTATCACCATCGAAAAAATGAGATATACAAAACTTGTCACCATGTCAGTTAATACTTAGTTGGGTAACCTTTAGCATGAATTAAGGCCTTACAACATCTTCCTGTGGAGCGGACCAAGTCTTTGAGTTCTGCAGCTGTTATAATGCGAAACCAAGATTGAATGATTGCTTCTATTAACTGGGTTTTATTGCTGGGTCGCTTCTGACTAACAGGTTTCTTTAGTCGGCTCCATAGATTTTCAATTGGGTGAAGGTCTGGGCTATTCCCAGGCCATTCCAGCAGTGGAATAGGATTATCTTGAAACTCCAAAAAAATAAAAATAAAAAAATAAGTGGTGTTACAGTATTAGCCACCAAACCTCAAAAATACACTTTTCCCAAAAGGTTTCCACAATTTTGGCCACTGCTGTAAGCTGCAGATCAAAAGGGCATCATTTGCACACTGATGTTCTGGCACGCACGTTTCCATTTTGACAGGGTTACAGATCCCTATGCCTGCCATGCCCATCCTGATGTTCAAAGGCTGGTACGGATGTACACTAAATGGAAGAGAAACATGAGCTCTTCTTCCTCTTTGTGAGTTGTCATTTCAGACAACTGGTGGTAAGGTCGGATTCCTGCAATGGATGAATTCTTCAAAGGCAGGCCCTATTGAATGATTAGAATAGAACAGAACAGAACAGAACGGAACGGAATGGAACGGAACGGAACAGAACAGAACAGAACGGAACAGAATATAATTCTTTATTGGCCAAGTGTGATTGGGCAAGGAATTTGTCTTCCGCGCATAAGCTCTCATGGTACATAAAAGCTATAAGTGATAAATCATGATCACAGTCGTCATAAAAATACATTCATCCGAAATCATAAGATACAACACTGAGTGATAGTCATAGGATACTAATTAAGCAATCAACATCAATCCTACTAGGAAACTAAATAAAACAATTTATTTAGAAAGACACGCGCACGCATCAAGAACCTCACAGGATTCGCAGCCAGTGGCGGGAGACGCTTGTATTTTGTGTATAGCGATGGGCTTCGTAGTGCGTGGTCAAAAAAAGTCAAGATGGAGGACACCCCTTAATATTTGGGGACAAGGAAAAAAAAAAGGCCAGGTCTTCTCCGCAAGGTGCAGCTGGAAAGATGCTTTCCACTGCTCTCCTGCTTTTTTCCGGTGGGAGCCTGCAAACGTGGGAATGCCCACTTCTCCCACTGCAGGATAACAACCCTCACCGTAGCAATAGCCTTTAGACTTATATACCGCTTCAGGGTGCTTCACAGCCCCTCTCTAAGCGGTTTACAGAGTCAGCACATGGCCCCCCAACCATCCGGCTCCTCATTTTACCGACCTCGGACAGAGCGGGCGGCCGAGTCCCCCTGGTGAGATTCGAACTGAGATTCAATCCATCCTTTCCTCCGCTTTCACCCCGCGTCCCCACGGTCGCGCGGTGGCCCTGCCACTCAGAAACCCGCATTTCCTATTGGCTGTCGGCAGCTCGCTGTGGCCGGCTTTCCCCCACCCCCCACCCTCTCCATCCACCCCGCGGTTGCGTGTCTCGGTGCACGTGTATACGCGGCAAGGGAGGCGTCGGAGCCGAGGCGAAGGAGGAGAGAGGGCTCGATCGGAAGGGAGCGCTGCGTTTAGCCCGAGGCTCGGCGGGACCCTCTGTTTTTCGCTTAGCCCCTCGATCGATGGGGGCTATTTTGGTTTAGCCGCCGAAGAAGCCGATCGATTCGCCATCGTTTTGGGGTTCTTTTGGTTTTTTTTTTAGACTGGTGGAAGCGCTCGGGGGGGGGGGGGGGAACCCCGGCCGCGTCCGCCTCCATCGCACCCGCGCGCATCTCTCTCTCTCTCCACCCTCCCTCTCTCCTCTTCCTCTCTCTCTCCCCTCCCTCCTCTCTCTCCACCCTCCCTCTCCTCTCCCTCCCTCTCTTTCTCCCTCTCCTCTCCCTCTCCCTCTCTCCCCCTTCCTCTCCTCTTCCTCTCTCTCTCCCCCCCTCTCTCCTCTTCCTTTCTCTCCCCTTTTCTCCTCTGTCTCCCTCCCTCCCTCCCTCTCTCCTCTTCCTATTTTTCTCTCCCTCCCTCTCTCCCTCCCACTCCCCCACCCTCCCTCCCTCTCTCTCCCTTTCTCTCTTTCTTCACCCTCTCCCTCCCCCTCTCTCCCCCTTTCTCCTCTCTCCCTCCCTCCCTCCCCTTCCTATCTTCCTCCCTCCCTCCCTCTCCCTCTCTTTCTCTCTTTCTTCCCCCTCTCTCTCCCCCTCTCTCCCTCCCTCCCTCCCCTTCCTATCTTTCTCTCCCTCCCTCTCTCTCCCTTTCTCTCTTTCTTCCCCCTCTCTCTCCCCCTCTCTGCCTCCCTCCCTCCCCTTCCTATCTTTCTCTCCCTCCCTCTCTCTCTCTTTCTCTCTTTTTCCCCCCCTCTCTCCCCCTCTCTCCCTCCCTCCCCTTCCTATCTTTCTCTCCCTCCCTCCCTCTCTCTCTCTTTCTCTCTTTCTTCCCCCCCTCTCTCCCCCTCTCTCCCTCCCTCCCTCCCCTTCCTATCTTTCTCTCCCTCCCTCTCTCTCCCTTCCCCCTCCCTTCCCTCTCTCTCTCCCCTCTCTCTCTTCTCTCTCCCTCTCTCCCCTTCTCTCCTCTTCCTCTCGAGCGAGGGAGAGGAGGAGAAGCCCGCAGCCTTCTGGCCGGAGGGGCAGGGCAGGGCGCGCAGGAAGCAGCGGCGGCGGCGGCGACGGGCCTCCCGTCTCCTCCTCCCCAGGAGGCTGGGATGGGGCCAGGCAGCGGTTCGAGCCGGCCGGGAGGTGGCGGCTGTGGCCAAAGCTGCCTCGGAGCCCGGCGCGCCGTGGACGGAGGCGCGGGGGCCGCTCTCGGCTGACGAGTCTTAGACCCCCAAGCGGAGGAGGAGGAGGAGGAGGAGGAGGAGGAGGAGAGAAGCGGCGCGCGCGCGCCCCCGCTCCGCTTTGCGGTTGCCCCCCCCCCCCCCCCCCCCCGGGCAAGGGGGGGAGGCCGCGGAAAGAGCCGGCGAGGAGCCCTGCCGCTGCGTCCCCCGCTCCGCCTGGCTGGCAAGATGGGCTGGAGCCGCAGGGTCGGCGGGACCGGAGCTCCGTTCCTGCTGCTGGGATTGGTGATGCTGCTGCTCCTCCTGGCCGGGCAACAGCCGAGCGCCGGCCGGAAACCTCCCAAGAGAAGATGCGCTTCGGGCTGCACCTGCACCAAGGACACGGCGCTGTGCGAGGGAGTCAAGGAGATTCCCCGCGATCTGCCCCCCAACCTCATCTCCCTGTAAGCTTCCTCTGGGCGAGGGGAAGGGGGCGCTTCTTTGAACCTCCCCCCCCCCCCCCCCCATTCACTTTTTTTCTTTTTTTCTTTTTTTCCTTCCTTCCTTCCTTCTTCTTTTTTTTTTAATCCCCCTCCTTGTTTAGGAGTAGCAAAAGTGCTAGTTGATCTCCCGGATGATACTGGGATGATACTGGCCTGACCTAAGTCTTTCCCCCTTTTTGAATGGAAATTTTAAATTTGGTTTTAAATTATTGGGGTTTTAAATTGGTTCAGCCAAATGATTGAATTCGTTTTAGTTTATTTTAAATTGTCTATCGATATGTTGTATTCTATGGCTGTTCACTGCCCTGAGTCCTTCGGGAATACATTATTTTATTGAATACAAATTCAATAAAATAAATAAAATAATAAATAAATAAATAAAATACACATTAAATCTATTCGGTCCCAAGATCTTCCAAGATCAAGGCTTAAACCTACGGAGAGCCCTCTCCCAAGATGAAAGCTTGGGAGTGGGTGGGCTTCCGGGGAGTAATAAGCACCCCTTCTCCAAAGGAAGACCAGCTGGACTCTCTTCTCCCCCCCCCCTCTCCATCTTCTAAAAACTATCATGAAAGGGGTCGTGGGAACAGGCCAAAGATCTGCAACTCCTGGCTTGGCCCAGGCTCTTTTACTTCCAGGCTAGCCTTGCCTGCAGAGTTGAGGACAACTTTTGTGGGGGTCTCGGGGTGAGGGGGTTGGGAGAAAGGGCTGGAAGTGGCTGGGAGGAGGCAGGGACATGGAGCTAGCAAGAAGCCCCACCAAGCGCCTTGCTTTCCCTTGGTGAAAGCACCCGTCTCTGGTGCAATGATGGAAAACCAGGTTAGCTGAGAGAGAGAGAGAGAGCTGTGTGGTTGGAGAGAAATGGATTTTAATCAAGAGGACACACACAAACGCACACAAATTTTGCATGAAGTCGGATAAAATTCACCAGGAATCCTTCCTCTCTCTCTCTTCTTCCTAGAGACTCCCCTCTGAAAAGCAAGGTACCCTAATGGCTAGTTGCTTCCTCTGTTTTTTTTCCAGTGTGTTTGGGGGAGGGGAGGTATCTACGGTAACAGGGCAATTTTTTTAAAAAATTTGATTTATATGCCGCCCTTCTCCGGAAACTCAGGGCGGCTTACAATGTGCTCAGCAATAGCCTTCATCCTTTTTGTATATTTATACAAAGTCAGCTTATTGCCCCCACAAACTGGGTCCTCAATTTACCTACCTTAGAAAGGATGGAAGGCTGAGTCAACCTTGAGCCTGGCGAGACTCAAAGCTGCAGTAATTGCAGGCAGCTGGTCTTAATAACAGGGTGCTTTAGACCACTGTACTACCAAGGCTCCAATTTCCAGCAAGTCTTGCATCGTGGGATCCCCAAAACAACAACCCTGTGAAAGAAGAGAGGCTGAGGAAAAGCAGCTGGCCCAGGTTCACCCTGAGTCAGGAAAAAAACATCAATTTAGATTTCCCCCATCCGGACCTTAATCGATACAGCACGCTGGCATCCCAAAATCACGAATAGATGTCCCTCCTTGACAGGATGGGCAGATTGCTGAAACTGGCAGCTGCAAGCATTTCCCTCCTGCCACCACCGCCACTCTGCCCAAATTATTGCAGATCCCCTGAGGAAATTAGATGCAGCTTGACAAACCCCCCCTCCCCTTTGAAACTCCGAGTAGTGCATCCATGCACACAAATGCTCCTCAAGCTGATGCAGGTAAATTCCTCCTAATAATTTATTTATTTAGCCAGGTAAGGTTGGCTCCAGAGAACTGCTCTTGTGACCCACAGGAGATGGTTCAAATGGCAACATCTAGAATTTTGGATTGCTATCCAAGGGGACTCTTGATGGTAGCTTTCTGGCTAAGCTAGGAGGAATCGAAGTGGTCCTTTCCTTTGGACCAGGTGATGGTGCAGCTGTTTTGTTGCTGAAATTATTTCTCTCTCCCTCCCTCCCTCTCTCCCTCTCCCTCCCTCCTCTCTCTTTCTCCCTTCCTCTCTCTCCCCCCCTCTCCCTCCCACCTCTCTCTCTCTCCCCCTCTCCTTCTCCCTCCCTCTCCCTCCCACCTCTCTCCCTCTCCCTCCTCCCTCTCTCCCTCCCACCTCTCTCTATCCTGTCTCCCCCTCCCTCCTTCTTCCTCTCCCTCCCTGCCTCCCTATCTCCCCCCCTCCATCCCTCTTTCTCCCCCTCTCCCCCTCTCTCCTCTTCCTCCCTCTCCCTCCCTTCCTCTCTCTCTCCCTCCCTCTCTCCTCTTCCTCTCTCTCTCCCACTCCCTCTTTCTCTCTCTTCCCCTCCCTTCTCTCTCTCGTTCTCTCCCCCTCCCTCCCTCTCCCTCTCCTCTCCCCCCCCCCTCTCTTTTTCAGGTGTCTCATTCGGTCCGGCTTCACCGAGGTCTTGGAAGGCAGTTTTCAACAGGTCCCGTCTCTCCAGCTGCTGTAAGGATCCTCTCGGTTGTGAGTGTTGTGGCATGCATCAAAATGTGTGTACTTTTAAGTGTTCCTCAGCCCGTATGTATGGTACATGAGAACCTGCCTCTTTTTTTTTTTTTGCTATCCAATCTCCCACTCACAGGATCTTGCCAAGAAACCTTCTGAATGTGACTCCTTTTGTCTAATGATGTAAATGCCTAGGATTTCACCCAATTCCTGATCAGGAGAATGGCAAGGATTGTGCCCTTCTTTGGTTCTAGGGGTGAATGCACTTTTTTCTCCCTTTCCTTTTGGCTTACATCGTTCTTTGTGCATCCGTCAGTCCACCTTGGAAGGTCCTCCTGTGGACATTGGGGAGGAAAGGAGAGCAGTAGTCACTATGCAAAGTGTTCACGGCACATGATTCTGCTTACCTGTATATCTGGGGTCTGCTAGTTTCAGAACTCCCAATCTGACACCCTTTCCTTTAGATGTATAGGTAGTCCTTGACTTACAACAATTCATTTAATGACATTTTCAGGCACTGAAAACAGTGACTTGCAACCATTTTTCACATAACCATTGCAGCATCCCCATCTTCTTGTGATCAAAATTCGGATGCTTGGCCACAGACTCATATTTATGACCATTTCAGTGTCCTGGGGGTCATCCGGGGTGAAATGCTCCTGGTTCAGACCGGATCGCCCAATCCGGTAGCGATGGAGGCAGGTGGTTCGGAGAATCCCTCCCCCCCCGCCCAGCTGAGCCGTGCAATCATCAGAGGCTTTTTTTTCTTTTAAATGCCTCTGACGATCCAAGCTGAGTTGCCTGATCGGCAGAGACTTTTTAAAAAATGCAACTCAGCTTGGATCGTCAGAGGCATTTAAACTTAACAACTATATGACTAACTTCACCACCGCACCGATTCACTTAACAACTGCAGCGGGAAAGGCCGTTAAATGGGGCAAAACTCAGTCGAGGACTACATGTACCAGTCTGCAGCTTCTTCAAATATTTGATCAGCGTCCCCTCCCAGCTGCAAATTCATCACATCTGAATATTGAGCAAGGATGAGATTATTCCCTCTGGAGTTACAAGATTAGGATTAGTCAGCGAATTAATTTTAACCTGACGATTAGCGGCACCCAGTGAAACATGTCAGCAAATTTGGGCATACCTCTGTCTCTGCAGATCAGTCTACGCAAAGCAAAACAAAACAAAAATACCCGCCAACCATCCATGTATAATTATAACCGCACCGATGGCATGTCAGGACAATCACTCCTTAAAGGAGCAAAAACAGAGTGTGCACTTTTTCAAAGGCAGTATGTGCTGCCTATTGCACGCATTGGAGAATGCTTACACCCACTAAAAAAAAAGGAGAGACTCTTTAGGACAAGTTTTCTCAACCCATGGCTAGCTGGGGAATTCTGGGAATTGAAGTCCACACGTGTTTAAAAAGTTGCCAAGGTTGGGAAGCTTTGCTCTTTTTTATTTATTTTTTATTTATTTATTTATTTTCGTCAAGCATGCATTAGATAACAGATAGAAGTATAAACGTGATTATGAATACAGGATATGGATACGAATAAATGGGGACGGAAGGACAGGGATGGTAGGCACGTTGGTGCGCTTATGCACGCCCCTTACAGACCTCTTAGGAATGGGGTGAGGTCAACAGTAGACAGTATTAAGGGTAAAGTTGTGGGGGTTCAGGGAAGAAACCACAGAGTCAGGTAGGTCATTCCAGGCATTGACCACTCTGTTGCTGAAGTCGTATTTTCTGCAATCGAGTTTGGAGCGGTTTATCTTGAGTTTGTATCTATTGTGTGTTCTTGTATTGTTGTGGTTGAAGCTGAAGTAGTCATTGACAGGTAGGACGTTATAACAGATAATTTTATATACAGCAGCACTCTGCAGGCCTCCCAAACAATCTGTCCGTGCCGTTTTTGCGAAAAACAGGCCATGCAGAGGGTTTGGGAGGCCTGCAGAGTGCTCCTGGAGGCTGGGGAGGGCAAAAACTTATTTTTTTCTTGTTTACCTCTTCGAAATCTTGGTGCGTCTTATACTCCAGTGCATCTTATAGTCTGAAAATTATGGGTAGGTCTTTCCAATGCCTCTTCATGTTGTACAGACTCCATTCTTTGGATGAGTGTATTTTGCCAAGCTGCTACGTGGGGTTAATTCAGTAACCACCTAAATCCCCATGTATATGGATGTGGGGAACCAGCTGTGCTATTTTACCTGTTCTCACCTGCGAATTCGCATCTCTGGGAACATTCACATGCATAGGCTTTTCATGCGGCATGCATAATACAGGTAGTCCTTGATTTGCAACAAATCATTTAATGACCGTTCAAACATCACTGAAAAAGATGACTTATGACCATTTTTCATACTGACCACCGTTGCAGCATCCCTGTGGTCACGTGACCAAAATTCAGATGCTTCGCAAACTGACTATTTATGAAGGTTGCTGTCAGCACTTCAAGCTGCGTTTACTCTAGTGCTGACATAAGAAGGAGAAGCGGAGGCGTCTGGAAAGGGATGTTTGACTTTTCACCTACTTATTTTCTCTGGAGATAATATCCCCTAGGAGATGGATGGGAGGGGGGAAATTCCTTTGAGCTGAAGCAGTAGATCAGGGGTAGAGTGATTTGGAAGATGGCCAATGAATGCAGAGGAGTGGGGAAAGGAAAAGGAGGGTCTTGGGTCAGGAAGTCAGTGTTAGCTACAATGAAGTCGGGCTTGGAATGCCGTGCTCAATAAATGAGAGTTTTCATCAAAGACTTTGTTTGAAATGCAATTTATTTGAGACAACCTCGAAACCTGACAGTTGCAGTATCCCAGGATCATATATGATCCCCTTTTGCGATCTTTGGACTGGCCAAGTCACTGGGGAAGCCAGGTTCACTTAACAACCCTGTTGCTAAGGTAACCAGTGCAGTGGTTCACTTAGCAACTCTGACAGGAAAGGCTGTAAAATGGGACAAAATTCACTTAACCGTCTCACTTAGCAATAGAAATATGGGGTTCAATTGTGGTCATAAGTCGAGGACTGCCTGTACTAGCCCCTAGGCATGCAAACTCATGCAATGTGGCTCTTTTCTTGCACATTCCCAACAACTACAATCAATAAGGTAACCTTTGACTTACATCCAGTCACTTAATGAGCCACGGTGGCGCAGTGGTTAAAATGCAGTACTGCTCTTAGCCACTGGCTCATATTTATGATGGTTGCAGCGTCCCGGGGTGGGGTGGGGTGTCACGTGATCCCCTTTTGTGACCTTCAGACAAGCAAAGTCAAGAGGGGGGAGCCGAATTCACTTAACAACCATGTCACTAACAACTGCAGTGATTCACTTTTTTTTTTTTTAATTTGATTTATATGCCGCCCTTCTCCGGAGACTCAGGGTGGCTTACAATGCGTTAAGCAATAGCCTTCATACTTCTGTATATTTATACAAAGTCAGCTTATTGCCCCCACAATCTGGGTCCTCATTTCACCTACCTTTGAAAGGATGGAAGGCTGAGTCAACCTTGAGCCTGGTGAGATTTGAACTTACAGTAATTGCAGGCAGCTGGTGTTAATCACAATGCTATCAGTCTGCTGAGCCACCAGGCCCTTAACAGCTGGGGCAAGAAAGGTCATAAAACGGGGCAAAATTCACTTAACAAACGTCTCGCCTAGCAACAGAAATTTGGGGATGGGATGGGGTCCATTGTGGTCATAAGTCAAGGACTACCTATGAGCTCATCCTATAAAGGAGGATGTTAGCATATCCACATATGAACACGGGCCTGCTTTTGAACTAGTGAACCATTGTAACTGCTCATTTTAATGGAAAACATGCCTAATGAAAAATATGGTTTTTTTCCCCATTTGCAACCTAGGAAACAGACATTGGCAAAGCAATAGTGACTAGTTTCTTTTTTTTATCAATGAGCTGCCTACTAATCTCGGCTATTTTGGGTCTGGCAGCCTCCTAATCCCATGTGCCTATTCAGAATGGGATTTAAAAATACGCTTCTGAGAAAGACATTCATTCAAGACATTCTATATTTCCCCACCACCACCACCACCATCATGTGCTCCGAAACTCATCGCTGTGGTTGAAAAAAATGGATTTTAAAAAAACTCTATATGACCTCTGACTCATTGCTAGACCAAGGGAAATTTCAGGCAGGAAACAATTAGAACCATTTCTACAATCTGGGCTTCGTGGTCTGCTTTAACATTTCAAAATGCTCAAAGGAACGTCTGCAAATATTTTTTAGCCCAACCAGTTGGTGGTTGATTACAAAGGGGGAACGGGATGGGGACCAAGGTTGATGATGGGGATGGGAGGTTACCTGGCAAACGGGGACATCTTTACTAAACTGCGATGCAGGTCATCTTGTCCCAGTCTTTCTTACCTGGCCTAGGTTGCTGCTTTCCATAGCACTGAGCCCCCCGTGGCTTGTCTGGCCCCTGCATTCTGATCCTAGTTACCTGCCCCCGATTGTAGAAAGAGCTACAGGGGAGTCCCAAAGGTGCTTTTTTCAAGAGGCAACTGGACTTCCTTGTTTTTCTTTGAAGACGTTTCACTTCTCATCCAAGAAGCTTCTTCAGCTCTGACTGGATGGTGGGGGAATGGAAGGATTTATGAGTCTGTGTTGTCTGCATCCTCAACTGCCTGTGCCTGTGTTCAATAGTGAAGGGACACAGGGCAGAGAACATCCTGCAGAAAGCAGAGCTCCACAACACAACACAGTCCTTTCAGCAGTTCCAAGAAGGCTCCACAACCCATTTGCACTACTCAGGTGACCTGATGACACAGATAGACCTCCAGCTGGCCTCAACCGCTCTCTAAAAAGATTATTATATGTATATGAAATCTTTTTTTTTCCCCAAAATATTTTTTATTTTTTCCAATATAACACTTAAAATACATCTCTTTCGAGAGCTAAGTCTCGATCCGGTCATGAATAGGTACAATTGCTTACATTTTAAAAAGGCTCCATTCACAATTTCCCATTATATCTTTTAAAATTCAAAATCAAAACATAAGAAAAAAATTTTAGTCAAAGCTCTACAGTAAAAGTTCGAAACCTATAAGAACAAGTTTTAATATAAATTCTAACATCATCATCTAAACAAATCTATTATATCAATACAATTTTAATTTCAAATTAACTCACTCATTTTTATTTCTATTAGTCAATCTTAATCATATCTTGTTCTTCTTCACCTTATATCTTTTTCCATCAGTATCAAAAAAGATTTTTTTAGCAATATTCTAACCTCTTGTTCTAATTATTTACCTTACAATTTTATCACCACAAATCTTGATTTCAAATTCTATACCACTCCATTCTTATTACACTTTATATAGCAAAGTTCTATCTAATTCTTAGTTTCTTGACCCTTTCCTTAATTCTTAATATCTTAAACTTTATCAATTTATCTTTGATTTTATCTCCCTCCCTATATATGTATATGAAATCTTAATCTGTTCACCGCCCTGAGTCCTTCGAGAGAAGGGCAGTATAGAAATCAAATAAATAAATAAATAAATAAATAAATAAATAAATAAATAAATAAATAAATAAATAAAAGAATGCAAATGACCAGCTGTCTGCAAGGAACGTAAATCCTTCCATTCCCCACCATCCAGTCAGAGCTGATGAAACTTCTTGGATGAGAAGTGAAACGTCTTCAAAGAAAAAACAAGAAAATCCAGTTGCCTCTTAGAAAAAGCACCTTTGGGGCAACCATGACCTGGATGATGGAGACATTTAGCTATAGGCATTAGATCTTATCTCTTGCCAGTTTTAATCCCAGTTTTGCTGGGCCATTCCTCAACAGATGTTGCAAGACCTGATGCCCTAAAGGCCTTCTCAACCCACGCCCACTCAGTCGGCCAGCCCAGTGAGTGGCATCAAGCTGGCCACACCCACACCTGCCCGGCCCCCCGAGGTCAACCACAGCCCTGATACAGCCCTCAATGAAATTGAGTTTGACACCCCTGCCCTAGGCTGTCACTTCCCTGACCCTTAGCACGTGGTCTTCTTCTCTTCCCATCCTGCAACACTCCTGATTGTTCAGAGCACTTTTGTTCTTCATAGAGGTGGCATTTCCTTTAGGGACCCTCTATAAGTGGCTCTTTCTCCTCTGTATTCCTTTCAACTGACCAGCTTGCCTCCTTTCCTCCCAACCTTCTCCCCCTTTAGCTTGATCACTTACAACTCCCTGGAACTGATTGGGGACGACGCTTTTGTGGGACTGATACACCTGGAATATCTGTAAGTATGCAACAGTGGGTGGGTGGGGAGGGGGTGGGGAAAAGAGAAGCAAGTACATCAGTGAGGACCAAGGTGGGTTGACACCAGCCATTTGCCAAGGCTCAGGATCTCGTTCAACGACAGGATAGCAGGGCCCCTTCCCATGTGATGGGATAGCAGCGACCCTCATTCATTACTTCCACCAAGGACTTTGGTGAGGGTGGATGGAGTCACAGTCTATCAACATCTAGGTGTTCTGCCCCAGCTACGGATCCCAAAAAACACAGCACACAAAAACTCTGAACAAAACTTAGTTTACTCAAATAACGCAGTTTTAGCAAATGCCGGCTGTTAATAAGCGTTCTTAACAGCCTGCCAGAATTCCACAGATAAGATAGAGTCTTACTAGAGTTGGCAGAAAGCCAAGAAGCAAGGTTGCACAGACATCCCAACGCGATGATTAGCGAACTAAAGTTGTTTCCTGCAGCTTGTTACAAGCTGCGTACTTTCTTAAATAGGCTAAGGGAGTGGCCAATTAACCCCAAGCCTTACTCTTGAGGAGACCTCCTCCTGAAGAATCACTCCTGCCTTTTGGCAGCTCTGGGTGCCCCTGCATTGAGAAGAGGCTCCTCCTCTTCCTCCTCTTCACTTAAAGGAGCCTCTGGAGGGTCTGAAGGCCCTGACTGAATCCCTGCCTCTGGCACCACATCTTCTTCAGCCTCCTCGCTGTCCGACTTGAGCACCGGCTGCACAGGCTGCTGGCGCAGCACCACACCAGCCTCCTTGTCGTCGGGATCAGCAACAATCTGCGCAGGCTGTTGGCGGGCCACAACACTAGGACTGTTGTATATTGCTAGATAAGAAGCAGAGATGACAGTATAGCTCATAAAGAGAGGGGCTCGTAAGATTTAAGAGCTTGAGTTGTAGCTATGGAACTATATGGAGAAACTGTCGGAAGGGGCTGTCACAGATAAGAAGGGATTGATTTATTCTCCAACGCTCCAAAGGGCAGGGCGAGAAGTAATGAGTGGAAGCTTGTTAAAGAGAAAGCCAACTTAGAAGTAAGGAGAAATTGTTTGTCAGTGAGAACAATTAATCAACGGATCAGCTTGTCTCCTGGAGTTGTGGATGCTCCAACACTGGAGGTTTTAAAAAATAGATTGGACAGTCATTTGGTCAGGATGGTGTAAGCTCTCCAGCCCTGAGCAGGGGGTTGGACTAGTAGACCTCTGAGGTCCCTCCCAGCCAATGATTCTATGTTCTATGAACTGTGTAAGTCTGAAAAGAACCCAACAGGGGAATGGATGTACAGTAAAATGTGCAATCAGCTTTATTTTCCTTCATTCATTAAACTTTCATTCCAACATCTAGAAGGTTATATGTGGCTGATCCCAGATTTAGAACCCATTTGCTTTTGTTTTCTTTTTGTTTTGGTTTTTTTGTTTTGCATGTTATTTGTCAAATTATGGTGCTGCCTTTCTTTCTCTCAGAAGCAAAAGGCAATGTGTAGCAGTGGTTCTCCTCCATTTCTGATTTTCTCCTCACAAGAAAAGTTCTGTGAGGCAGGCTGAGTTGAGAAAGCTTGACTGGCCCCAATCCCCCCCCCAGGATCTGAGGATTGATGTTAGCCCAGTGTTTCTCAACCTTGGTAGCTTGAAGATGGGTGGGCTTCAACTCCCAGAAACTCCCAGATTCTGGGAGTTGAAGTCCACCCATCTTCAAGCTACCAAGGTTGAGAAACACTGTGTTAGCCCATCCTTCGTCCAACCTCTTAACCATTGCCCTGTCTCATTTTTGCTCCTTTCCTGAGACTTACCGGGACTTCTCTTCCAGGTTCATTGAACAAAACAGACTAGAAGCCATCTCCAAGAATGCCTTCAGAGGTCTGAAGACTCTTCTTCATCTGTGAGTACTTTGTGGGACAATCTTCCTGGTTCCTCTTTGGACTTCTGGAATTCCGGCAAAGTTTACCATGCAACTTGACTTACTGTTTATTTATTAGTTTTTTTTATATATCCACCCTTTATTTTGGGCAAACTTAAAGCAGCATACATGCTTTGAGGATCTCACCTGGCAACTTAGCCTAAGAGCCAATGGTGAAATCCAATTTTTTTTACTACCGGTTCTGTGGGCGTGGTGTGGCTTGGTGGGCTTGATGGGCATGGGGGGGGGAAGGATATTGCAAACTCTCCATTCCAGAGGTGGGTTTCAGCAGGTTCTGACCAGTTCTGGAGAACCGGTAGCGGAAATTTTGAGTAGTTCAGAGAACCAGTAGTAAAAATCCTTACTGGCCTCGCCCACATCTATTCTCTGCCTGCCAAGTCCCAGCTGATTGGGAGGAAATGGGGATTTTGCAGTATCCTTCCCCTGGAGTGGGGTGGGAATGGAGATTTTACAGTATCCTTCCTCTGGCACACCCGCCATGCCACGCCCACCAAGCCATGCCACGCCCACCAAGCCACACCCACAGAACTGGTAGTAAAAAAATTTGAAACCCATGACTGCTCCATTCCCACCCCACTCCTGGGGGAAGGATATTGCAAAATCTCCATTCCCACCGCACCCCTGGGGGAAGGATATTGCAACATCTCCATTCCCACCCCACCCCTGGGGGAAGGATATTGCAAAATCTCCATTCCCACCCCACCCCTGGGGGAAGGATATTGCAAAATCCCCCTTCCCACCCCACTCTGGGGCCAGCCAGAGGTGGTATTTGCCGGTTCTCCAAACTACTCAAAATTTCCGCTATTGGTTCTCCGCACTGCTCAAATTTCCACTACCGGTTCTCCAGAACCTGTCAGAACCTGCTGGATTTCACCCCTGCTAAGAGGGCACTAATTTTGCTTGGATGCCTTGATTATCCCAAACACTCCTTTATTTTTTGGGTTTTGGTGCTGTCTGTTGTTTGCTTGCAGACATTACTCAACAAGGTAACATTATCATCACTAATGAGGTTAACCTAGTTAGGTAATGAAACGTCTCCAGGCAAACAATCAAGCTAGGAGAGATCAGGGACTCCGCAGCCCAACCCTGAGCTACAGATATTCTCTTCTGTTGGGGCTGCTTCCCTTCAACGCACGGCATGTTCTCAGATCTGCCAACTTGCTTTAAGGATATTCTTTTTCCTTCCCATTTTTCACAGGAATTTAGCCAACAACAACTTGCAGACCTTACCAAGGCACCTCTTCCGAGGCCTGGATTCGCTGACTTCAGTGTAAGTTGAGTCCAGCAGAAAGAAACAAGGGTATGGTTTTGGATAGAAAATGTTGTTACTCAAGCCTAACCTCCACTCCTGGTCATGAGGACAACCAAAGGACACAGCTCCAAACAGATCAATATCTCACACCAAAGATGGTTGGAGATTATAGGTCAACTGTCCGCTGGCTTTCAGATGGCTTAGACCAGGGGTCTCCAACCTTGGCAACTTTAAGCCTTGTTGTTGTTGTTAGTCGCAAAGTCACGTCCGACCCATCGCGACCCCATGGACCATGTTCTTCCAGGCCTTCCTGTCCTCTACCATCCTCTGGAGTCCATTTAAACTCATGCCGACTGCTTCAGTGACTCCATCCAGCCACCTCATTCTCTGCCGTCCCCTTCTTCTTTTGCCCTCCATCGTTCCCAGCATTAGGCTCTTCTCCAGTGAGTCCGTCCTTCTCATTAGGTGGCCAAAGCATTTGAGCTTCATCTTCAGGATCTGGCCTTCTAAAGAGCAGTCAGGGTTGATCTCCTCTAGGACTGACCGGTTTGATCGCTTTGCAGTCCAAGGGACTTGCAGGTATTCTTCTCCGGCACCATAGTTCAAAGGCCTCAATTCTTTGACGCTCAGCCTTTCTTATGGTCCAACTTTCACAGCCATAAATTGCAACTGGGAAAGCCATAGCCTTGACTATATGCACTTCTGTTGGCAGGGTGATGTCTCTGCTTTTGAGTATGATGTCTAGATTTGCCCTAACTTTCCTCCCCAGGAGCAAGTGTCTTTTAATTTCTTGGTTGCAGTTGTATTATATAGAATATGGTGATTGATATAAAAATAACTCTATTGTTCTACGCTCTCTATGTTCTATTTTCTGGTTATGGCTTGGAGGAAGAAGAGAAGGGTGTGAATTACGGCAAGAGAGAGATGGGCTGGCTGAAGAATTAACCATCCTCAGCTCCAAGTGCTTGAAGCATGGGAAGGCATTCCCCACGGACACGAAGCTGGCCCTGGGTGAACGTTTGGCTGCCACCCTGCCCTCCTGGTGATCACCCACCCACTTTTCTTCCCCAACAGGGACTTGCGGGGAAATTCTTTCCATTGCGACTGTAAGCTGAAATGGCTGGTGGAGTGGTTGAGCCACACCAGCGCCTTGGTGGAGCCCATCGAGTGCCACTCGCCGGCTGAGCTGAACCGCACCAGTCTCAGCGAACTGCGCCCTGGAGGGTTCAATTGCATCACCACTGGTAGGTCATCCTTTGTCCTTTGGATTCCCTCCAGCGAGGAAGGACTGCCAGCCCCACCATGAGTCAAAGGCAGGGAGTTGCCTCCATCAGCAAGTATTACTATCCAGCTAAAGGGTCAGCCAAATGGGTTAGCTCGTTGCTTTGTTTCTCCCTAATGGAGAGAAGAATGGCCTTTGTTGACTATTTTCTGCTCCTATATTGCCATTCTGATTATTGTGGCTTTTCTGTCTTGAGTACCCAAAAAAAGACCTCGCTTGACATTGGATTCCCTTCAGTGGTGAAATGTAAAATTTGTTACTACCGGTTCTGTGGGCGTGGCTTGGGGGGGGTTTAATGTGACAGTGGGCATGGCCAACCTTTTTTTTAACTTTTAAAAGCATTTTTTCTACAACCTCTTCAGCCGAAGAGGTTGTAAAAACATGCTTTTAAAAGCCTCTGATGATCAGGCAACTCAGCTGGAATCGTCAGAGGCTTTTAAAAGCATTTTGTTCTACAACCTCTTCAGCCGAAGAGGTTACAGAAAAAAAAATGCTTTTAAAAGCCTCTGACGAGCCCAGCTGAGCCATGAGATCATCAGAGGCTTTTTGTTTTGTTTTGTTTTAAAAGCATTTTTTCGGCCGAAGAAGTTATAGAATAAATGCTTTTAAAAGTTAAAAAAACAGCCTCTGATGATCGCGCGGCTCAGCTGGGCATGGGTGGGGGCACAGGGATTTTTGCTACCAGTTCTCCGAACCACCCGCCACCATCGCTACCGGATCGGACGATCCGGTCCGAACTGGGAGCATTTCACCCTTGATTCCCTTGCAGGGAAAGTCAAAAGATTTTATTCAAGTAGCCAAATGTCTTAGAGCAGCGGTCATTAACTGGTAGTCCGTGGACCACTGGTGGTCTGCGAGAAAATTTTGGTGGTCCACAGAGAAATGGTTTGAATTTTTTTAAAACAATTTTTTATTTTTTTTTCAGACACACAAGCATAAAATACATAATTTCTGAACAGAGTATTGACCGAGTCAAAATTCATACTGCTTATTTTCTCCATATTTACTATATATACTCCAATTTCTGCCAATATTTTACTTTCCCCCTTTTATCTATATTTTTAATAAAATATATAATCAATATTACCATCTGCCCTCGCCTCCTTCTCTTCACCTATCTCAAATTTTTAATCTATTGAAACCCTTTACTTTAAGCACAGTCATTCAAACGTTTAATTTTTCACAGTTATTTCTTTAGTGTCAATTTTTTCCCAAAGATGGACCAAATTTTATCTAATTATTTGCATTTTTTATATTGCACTAAATCAGAGGTCCTCAAACTACGGCCCCTGGGCCGGATACGTGCAATGAATGTTTGTGTTGTTGCAGAGAGTCTCTCCCCCTTCAGGGTCTTCTTGTGTGGGTCAGAGGGAGGCAGAGATTCCAACTTGGTGTCTACTTCAGCCTCCTGGTGTGGGGCTTTGGGCAAAGGCTGGAGGGAAGCACCGCTGGTGCGCCGGTGGGCCTCATTCCAGTGGGACAGCATCATGGCCTGGAACTGGCTGACCATCTCAGCCCGCTGAGCCTCCAGGTGCCTATACCTGGCCTTTCACTCCCACAGGTCTTCCCTCTGCTTGGAAAGCCTATGCTCTTAGTCCTCATTGAGGTGCTTCTGATGAGCCTCCTTCTCGGTCAGATCCATTTTTTAAAAAATTTTTATTTATTTTTATATGCCGTCCTTCTCCGGAGGCTCAGGGCGGCTTACAATGCGTTAAGCAATAGCCTTCATACTTTTGTATATTTTATACAAAGTCAGTTTATTGCCCCCACAAACCGGGTCCTCAATTTACCCACCTTAGAAAGGATGGAAGGCTGAGTCGACCTTGAGCCTGGTGAGAATTGAACTCGCAGTAATTGCAGGCAGCTGGATGTTAAATGCTGCCTTAGTAGGAGGCATTAGCCTCCTACGCCACTCAGGCTCTTTGAACTGAGCCAGCTGTTTTGCCAACTCTTTCTCATGGTGGCTGCTTAGCTCCAACAACTGCTTCCTGTTGGGGCCCTAAGGAGCCCGGGCAGGCGAGGAGTAACGAGTAGAGGTTGGCAAGGTGCCCCTCAAAGTGAGTGACATCGAGTTGGCCACGCCCACCCAACTGGTCATTAGGCAGATCGTATTAGTGGTCCGCGGGATTTAAAATTATGAATTTAGTGGTCCCTGAGTTCCGAAAGGTTGGTGACCCCCGTCTTAGATTGACTCTTCCCTCCTTAGGGAATTTGTAGCCATGGAAATGGAAGAAGTTGGAATTAATCTCCAGATGCGACAAACAGAAAGTGTACAGGGGTCCTTGGTGTTCTCTGAGCTTGCTTGTTTTCCTTCAGATGTTTCCTTACCCAAACTAGGTAGCATCATCAGTGCTAATAAGGAGTGGGATTTGCTGTCAGTTTATATTCTGGTGTCTTTTTCTGTCAGTGTGGGTTGGGTTGGTCTTAGAGGTTCTTTGGCTGGGGCTGCTTACTGATGGCTCTTTGGCAGTTTCTTGATTGGGGTGTTGTTTACTTGATTGTTGGTCTGATGTTAATCTTGGAGTTCATCTATGCCAGTGTTTCTCAACCTTGGTAGCTTGAAGATGGGTGGACTTCAACTCCCAGAATCGGGAGAAGCGGCGCTGGCTGGGGGATTCTGGGAGTTGAAGTCCACCCATCTTCAAGCTACCAAGGTTGAGAAACACTGATCTATGCTGATCTGAGTGCCAATTGCTGGTCGAGAGGTGCTTCAGAAAATTCAAATATTCTCCTTTATTATTTATTGGTTCAATTTATTGGTTCGATTTATATGCCGCCCTTCTCCGGAGACTCAGGGCGGCTTACAATGCATTAAGCAATAGCCTTCATACTTTTGTATATACCTGCTTAGTAGGGCTTTCGGGGCTCCCCAAGCGGTGTTCTTTTTTATACAAAGTCAGTTTATTGCCCCCACAAACCGGGTCCTCATTTTACCTACCTCGAAAGGATGGAAGGCTAAGTCAACCTTGAGCCTGGTGAGATTTGAACTTGCAGTAATTGCAGGCAGCTGATGTTACTTAAAAGTGCTTTAGTCTGCTGCGCCACCAAGGCTCTTCACTTAGAAAGTGTCTCGATTTGTCAAGGATCAAATGAAAGTGATCTGTGATGTGTGGATACTTATTAAGCTTCTATCTCTCTTAAGAAATGTAGTAATTCCAGTCTAAATCAGTGGCATCCTTCGGATGTGTTGGAGAAAGCTAGGAATTCTGGGAGTTGAAGTCTCATACAACCACAGCTTGTGGTCAAAAGAAAGGGGAAATTTGATGTAGGCAGAGGTTAACTTAAGTTGTGGTGTTTTTTTCCCCAGCCTTCTTTTCACTTTACCCTGTTTCCCCGAAAATAAGAACCCAACCGGAAAATAAGTCCTAGCATGATTTTTCAGGATGCTCGTAATATAAGCCCTACCCCCCAAAATAAGCCCCAGTTAAGATTGTCAGCCAGATGGTGCATTTAGTACCGTATTTCCCCTAAAATAAGACCTAACCAGAAAATAAGCCCTAATGCGTCTTTTGGAGCAAAAATTAATATAACTTCCGTTCTTATTTTCAGGGAAACATGGTATTTTCCAAACTGGCTAATCCTGCTGAAGTCAGTGTTGGCTTATATTCACAACATGCCTACTTTAATTTAAATAATTTTGGAATTTTTGAATGACACATTGAGAAGTGGCTCTTAGGAAATGTGTTCTTGCCCGTGTGCTATGATCTGTTCCACGGGATATCATGTGTTGTGGTGATGGTCTTTATCTTTAGATAAAGAGGAGGGGCTGAGAGAGGTTTCTGCAAGGACTATTCATCACAGTGTTTATATACAACCTTTATTTCTGGAGGTCTTATTCCCTTGAACGCTGGGTGCTGAAGGTTGATGGTGGACCATAGCTTAATTGCTTTCATGACCTGTTAGTGAGCATCTCACAGACATTTGGTTGTCAATGTTGGAAGCAATATTCTGGATTAGATGGATTCTTGGCTCTGCAATGGACCACTTTTGTTAGTCTGAAAGCTGAATTTGACCTTTTGGGAAGCCTGCTGGGGGATGCAATTCCAAGAATTCGGAAGAGCCAGGATGGAACCTACTTCAGGGCAAGTTTGAAAGCACAGCCAAATTTTTGCAAGGCGATGCAAGGAACTCAAGCTTGCAAATTCTTCTCCCTTGCTCTGGGTCAGAGGTCTCCAACCTTGGCAACTTTAAGCCTGGCGGACTTCAACTCCCAGAATTCCCCAGCCAGCTGGAGTTGAAGTCCGCCAGGCTTAAAGTTGCCAAGGTTGGAGACCCCTGCTCTGGGTTGACCCAGCAGGATTCATCCTTGTGGATCGGCCACAAGACATAGCAAAATAAATCATAACGAGGCAAATAAAGATGTTCTGCGTGGAACCCTTTAAACACAGCATCAGCCCTTGCAGAAATGCATTTATTAATTAACTGCATTCCAGGCTGCCAACTGAGTTTCCCACTTCTGAATAGTTGAAGGCCACCAGGGTTGCGAGATTCCACCCCCTGGTCGAATGCTAACTCCCACCTTCCTCCCCACAGAACTTGTTCTCTTTGACACTTTGCCAGAGCAGTCTCTTTCAATAGAAACGTTCGTCTATCACGATGAAGAGAATTTGGTGGTTGCACAGCCCTTTACTGGACGGTGCAACTTCATGGAGTGGGACCACGTGAGTGGGAAATTTCGCAGCTATGCCACTATCAATGGTAAGAAACCCAGAAACACACAACAACAATCACTTTTCTCCCGCCAGCATTACTAGGTGGAGGCATTGCCTTCGTTGTTCAGAAACATACAGTGGGGAACATTCAGCAGCACCAAACTACACCCCATAATAAATAAGGAGCTATCTTCTCTACCTTTTTTATGCCTATCAACGTTCTCTGTAGTTTGTAGGTCTTTAAGATATGGTCTGTATTTAGCGCCAATCCTAAGAGAAGAGCAGACAGAGATGGAGGGCGGAGTTAAGTGTGTCATCAGATTAGAGTCCTTGCATTCCCACAAGTACTCCAAGCTTAGCCCATCCTCAATTCCGTTGACCTTTATCTGACACCAATTTAGCGGTAAACTTTAATTAACCAAGTTGTTGTGTATATTCTTGAATAAATATTCTATGCCAAGGATCCCCCACCCCCCAGGCCATGGACCGGTACTGGTCTGCGGTATGCCAGCAACTGGTCCACACAAACAAGCAAAGCCCCATCCATGGGATGCAGACAACATGCAAACCCACACCCCCTCCGGTCCACAGAAAAACCTTTCTCCATAGAACCAGTCCCTGGTGCCCGAAAGATTGGGGGCCGCTGTTCTATGCTACATGCTGATTCTTTGCAGCTGTCAACTATTGCCATTTGATAGCAAAATGAAGGGCACAAGTTCCCACTGAGATTTGGGCAGGAATATTCTTTCTGCGCAAACTCAGAAAACCCAAACTGCCCAAGGAGCTTCTGATTCAGTTCTTCAGAGGAATTATTGAGTCTGTCATCTGCACCTCTATAACTGTCTGGTTTGGTTCTGCAACCCAACAAGACAGATACAGACTTCAGAGGATAATTAGAACTGCAGAAAAAATAATGGCTACCAACCTGCCTTCCATTGAGGACCTGTATACTGCATGAGTCAAAAAGAGGGCTGGGGAAATATCTACAGACCCCTCACATCCTGGACATAAATTGTTTCACTCCTACCCTCAAAACGACGCTATAGGGCACTGCACACCAGAACAACTAGACACAAGAACAGTTTTTTTCCTGAATGCCATCACTCTGCTAAACAACTAATTCCCACAACACTGTCAAATAATTTACTAAGACTGTATTACTATTATTCTTGTCTTCCTTACTAGTATCTATCTCTTCCCACTTATTACTATAACCATGTTGCTTGTATCTTTCAATTATATTGTTTTTATTTGTTTCCTAGCACGATTTGATAGCTTATTGGTAACCCTGACTATCACTAAGTGTTGTATCTTTTTAATCTTGATGAATGTTTTTTATTCTCCTTATGTACACTGAGAGCATATACACCTAAGACAAATTCCTTGTGTGTCCAATCACACTTGGCCAATAAAGAATTCTACTCTATTCTAAAAAAATAAATAAATAGCAGCACACTATTAAAAGAGCTTTTCATACCTCAAAAACAAATAAATTGTCTTTAAACTGCGTAGGGTAGGAGGAAATAAGATACCAAGAACTGTTCACTTGGATGGCATGACATTCTGGTCTCATCTTCTACATCCTTGCTGGCCCCAAAATATTGAGAAGAACAATACAGATCCCAATGGCAATGCCATCATTAAGACAATTAATGTAACTAGGTAACTCTAATGTAAGAAGGCTTCCAGTGACTCCCCCTTTCTCCTTCTCAGGTTCTTCCACTGTGGTCTGCAAACCCTTGGTGATTGAGGGCGAACTCTTCGTAGTTGTAGCTCAGCTCTTCAGAGGGTCCCACATCTACAAGCGACATGAAACTACAGGACAGTTCCTGCACACCCAGGTCATCGAGAGCTCACGCATCCGTAAGCCCAATGACATCGAGGTCTTCCGAATGGAGGGAGACTGGTATTTCATCATGGCTGACAGTTCCAAGGCCGGCTCGACCACCTTGTACCGCTGGAACGGACACGGCTTCTATTCCCACCAGTCCTTGCATTCTTGGTATCGTGACACGGATGCTGAATTTCTGGAGATTGCAGGCAAGCCCCACCTCATCTTGGCCAGCAGCTCTCAGCGCCCGGTCGTCTATCAGTGGAACAAGCAGCAATTTGTGCGCCGTACGGACATTCCTGATATGGATGATGTCTACGCTGTCAAGCATTTCAAGGTCAAGGACGACGTGTACATTTGTTTGACGCGGTTCCTTGGAGATTCCAAGGTGAGATGGGAGGTTGGGGTGGTTGGTTGGTTGGCATTGTACCTGCTTCACTGCGGTCACACATTTCACCAAACCACACCGATGTGGTTTGAATACAACCTCCAGAAATGTGGCTATTTGGCGTAGCATGTTGGGGGAATCCAACCACTATGGCTTGCAGATCAGAGGTTGTAATAGGAGTGAAATCCAGCAGGTTCTGACAGGTTCTGAAGAACCGGTAGCGGAAATTTTGAATAGTTAACTGGCAAATACCACCTCTGGCTGGCCCTAGAGTGGGGTGGGAATGTAGATTTTGCAATATCCTTCCCCCTGGAGTGAGATGGGAACAGAGATTTTGCAGTATCCTTCTCCACACCCACTAAACCACGCCCACCAAGCCACGCCCACAGAACTGGTAGTAAAAAAAAAATAGATTTCATCACTGGGTTGTAAGTGAGCATATGTGGGCCTTAGGATCTGGTGGCGTTTTCAAGTAAACCTGATGCAAGCTTTGAAGATAGCCTGTAGGGGAATATATTTGTGCTTGGTGAAAACTTGTATCTGCTGCCAGTCAAAAACATGTCTCAGTGAGAAGGACAAGTTATTAAAGTTGATGGCTTGAAGGCTGGACAGATCTAGAAGTGACCTCCAGATATATTGAATGATAGCTTTCTGTCTGAACCCCCAAAATGCAATGCACATGCAGCCCCCGCGCATGCGGCCCAGCCCACCACGCATGCGTGTGCGCTCCCATGTGCCTCACCCACCACGCATGCACTGCAGAGACCCGAAGACCAGCTGGCCAGCGGGAGGCGTGCGCGCATGCGGAGCTGAACTGGGGCGATGGCTTGCGTGCCATCAGAGAGGGCTCTGCGAGCCATCTCTGGCATGTGTGCCATAGGTTCGCCATCACGGCTGTAAGTCCTCCAGTTAGAAATTCTGGGACTTTAATGAGTTCCTCCATTAAGTACATTTCAATCTATGCCTTAATGGTTCTTGCGAGGTCATGATCCCAGGAGAAGAGAAAATGCCAAGACATAGGGTTCAATCTTGGCTCAATCAACTGTAATTTATTGGGCAAAGATAAATCGGTTTCTCTTTTCCAATGTGTCATCGGTTATGAATCAGGTAGATTGCTCATTGAGAAATAAATGAAATCCCTCCCTTTGGTTGACTCCCGTTTTTTTCCATTGTCCTTACATACTGAACATTAGGTTCCTTTCCCCCATAATAACACTCCCCCATAATAACACTCACTAATAACACTCCCCCGTAATAACACGCGCTTCGCTCGCAGGTGTCACCTCTGCACATGCGCAGAGCCTTCTGTGCATGCGCAGAGTGTCAAAAACAGGACGTGATGATATCTGGGTGGGTGGGTGGGCGGGCGGAGCCTCCCACAGCCGCCGCTACCAGTTTGCCCAAACCAGATAGAACTGGCTGAATACCACCATCTTTCTAAGACTTGCTGCGGTCTTAGTGGCTCTGGGCTTGCACACCTTTAGACCCTTTGACTGAAACGATCGTCAAGAAATTGCATTTGAGTCCTGCTCTGCTCTCCACAGGTGATGCACTGGGATGGGTCCATGTTTCGAGATGTCCAGCATATGCCTTCTCGTGGCTCCATGGTCTTCCAACCGCTGAGCATCGCCGGCTATCGCTACGCCTTTCTTGGCAATGACTACTCTTTCAGCAAAGTCTACCGCTACGACCCCATCACTGGCCTCTTCCAGCACTTCCAGGAGCTCAACACCCAGGCCCCGCGTTCCTTTGCCCACCTCAACGTGGACAAGCAAGACTTCCTGGTTGCCTCCAGCTTCAAGGGCAAGACACATATTTACCGTCACCTCATCATCGATCTGAGTGCCTGAGCCCAGCAACAGTGGGGCTGGGGGGCGGCCGGGGGGGCATTGATTGAGGGTAGGAGGCAGCTACCGCAGGGAGAAGCAGCCCAGGAGAAGACCCGTTGGCTCCTGGGAAGTGCAGTACCAGAGGCATCCACTAGGGGGACAGCATTTGGAAGCAGATGCTGTTGAGGGTGCAGGTCTCCAATGGCACAAGGTAACAGCTGGCCAGCAGGTGGGAGTTAGGCGACTTAAGAGCCATAATCAATCACTAGCAAATGCAACTTGAGTGGCAGCAGAAGTCAGCAGATTTTTCTTTTCTTTTGACCTGCCAAATGATGATAAACTGATGCTGCCATTGCCGGAAGAGCAATCCTCTCAGCCACTTCTTACTAGGTGGCTCAGTGGCTAAGACACGTGAGCTCGTCGACCGGAAAGGTCGCCGGATCGAATCCCTAGTACAGGTCTCCTGCGTGAGCAGAGGGTTGGACTAGATGACCTCCAAGGTCCCTTCCAACTCTGTTACTGATACTCAGAAGGCACTTCGTTTTATAGGGAGGTCAATCCTATCCAGAATTGCTCAGAATTTCCATTCTTTTTTTTCTCCCCCCCACTTATCATTTCCTAACAAGGATGAGGTCGATTCGGTTGGATTTTCTTCTTCCCTTTTAATGAATTCCTGGAAAGTTTTTTTTTTTTTTGGCTTATTTTGCCTGCTTGCTTGTATGGCTCTGTTTTCTGTTGAAAACTTTTTTTGAAAAAAAAAATTGTGCAATCCTGCATCAGATAACTGTAACCTATGCGTGCCTGTTCAAAAAAAGCAAACACCAACTTAACGGCTAAATTCACACAATGCGGACAGGGCCATTTACAGTGGTGTTGATAGCTTGGGATTCAGGTTTTTCGGGGGGGTGGGGAGGATCTTAAATCTATTCTGGAAACCAGGCCACAATGTTATTATATGGGGGGGAGGGGTTTGGCTCTCCCAAATCATGGGCCCAAAACATTGTGCGAATACAGCCAAAGAATCTTGGATCCCCTTTAAATGTCTTATGATTTAAGCTGTTATATTTGAGTCGTGGTGGCGCAGCGGTTAGAGTGCAGTACTGCAGGCTGCTTCTGCCGGCTGCCGGCTGCCTGCAATTTGGCAGTTCGAATCTCACCAGGCTCAAGGTTGGACTCAGCATTCCATCCTTCCGAGGTGGGTAAAATAAGGACCCAGATTCTTGGGGGCAATAGGCTGACTTTGTAAACCGCTTAGAGAGGACTGTGAAGCACCGGTATATAAGTCTAAATGCTATTGCTACTTCTCTAGGAATAAATCCTGTTGATTTTAAACTGGGATTAACAGCCCAGGCCATACATACTGGTCTACCCCCTACTCAGTCCTACTGGAAGCCTGCCTCAACCTTTCCTTGAGATAGGCTGCATTTTCCGATGAACATTTTCCTGCGTTCAGGGGACGTTTTCCCAAAGCAGATCTACATCAAGTAACGTTACAGTCATCTGCTGGTTGCACCCAGTATGTTTTAATGGCCGTTTTCTATTTCCCAGTTTAAGGATGTATAAACATAACACAATGTTCGCCATCAAACTATGTCAGGGAGAGACATGACCGAAGCACAAGCTTAGCGTTAAGCACACAAGGGGGGTCTCAGGAAATCTCGATCAACTGGAGAAGGACTTTAGAGGGGGGGTGGGGGAAAGAGAACAAAGTAATATAGGAGGTGCATGGACTCATCGACAGAACGGAGAAGATGGGAGCCATTCTGGACAGAACTGTTCGCTGAAACAGAGGTGGACTTGCAAGAAATACAGTCCGGCATTTATAGTCCAACCTCGTAAATAGCCATCATCTTATTCAGAGTCATCAAATCTCCTTCTAGGAGTAGAGTTACTCTATTGTATACCTTCCTCTCGGTGGACTGGGAGAGACACAGCTCAGGCAGAAAAGACACCACGTGTGGGTTTCTTCAGAAGGACATGTTTTGATTTCCTCTATGGGCTTCCCTTCGCGATGTGGCATCCCACATACAATACATTGTAAATAAAAGTCAATATATTTGTTTGTGGGCTCGTGAATGTTCGGGCTTGTCTCCACTTTCCAGATACTCAAGGAAGCTACTCAGAGTCAAAGGGCGGGTGGGAGATTGATTCCCCTATCCTTAAAATTACCACCGGAGCAAAACCCACAATCCTTTTCATACAAGCTCTTTGCAACAGTCGCGAAGCACTGAAACACCGAGTCGAAAAACGTAACGTAAGCTATTAGACATATTATGTTAAATCACCGTTTCTTGAACTAGGATTTATTGAATAAGTCACCATTTGACAGCGTTCGCCCAGAAGGGTGATCCAGAAAGTGAGCAAGGCATATTCTCAGGGGTTACAGAATGAGGCACAGGTAATCCTCCACTTATAACCATTCGTTTAGTGACCGTTTGAAAGTTACAATGAAAAAAAGTGACTTACGGTCTGCATCCCCATGGTCATGTGATCAACATTTGGGCACTTGGCAACTGGCAAGTATTTATGATGAATGCAATGTCCTGGGATCACGTGATCCACCCTTTGTAACCTTCCCAGCTGGGTTCCGACAAGCAAAATCAATGGGGGGGTGAGGGGTGGAAGCCAAAGTCACTTAGTGATTATATGATTCACTTAACAACTGCAGTAATTTTCTTAAAAGCTGCAGCAAAAAATGTCATAAAATGGGAAGAATCTCACTTAACAACCGTCGTGTTTAACTACGGGCTCAGTTGTGGCCACAAGTCGAGGACTAATGGAACAAGTCAGCATAGGTAGACTTTGTTTCTGATTTTCTGCATAGTACAACCCAGGTCTTGTTTAGTTAATAAATCAGAGTTAAGCCAACCACTTCCCACAAAGTAGATCTCTACCCATTCTGGGGGCCGAGCAATTCTATTGCAGCGTAAAGTTGTTCATACATTGGGGGTATTTTTTTTTTTTAACCTGGCGGTGAGATTTTATTTCACAGAACAAATGCAAGAAGAAAAGGCAACAAAACAAGCCAGTGGCTTATTGGTCAGGTGAAGAGCCGTTTCACGGAGAACTGTCACGGCTGGTGGTATCACGAGAAGAGGCTCTGTTCAGCACTCGCTGGCTTCTAGAAGACACGGATGAGAAAACCAAATAACAAGGCACATTTTAGGTAAAAGAAATGGCGTGGTTTTCCCCCTCACCCCACATTAAAATTTGACTCGGGGAGCAAGGGAGGACAATTCCCATCCACACAGAATCCTCCGCAGGTTCTCTTACCTGCAAGGGGTTGTTTTGGTGCCCCACCGACGTTGACGTGCGTGCTAGATGGGAGAGGAAAAAAATGAGGTTAAGGAAGAAGCTGGAGCCAAGATTTGCATCCTCACTCCCCAGGGATGGGCTTCAAAAATTTTAGCAAGGGGTTCTCTGCCCGGTCGCTGGGTAGGCGTGGCCTAGTTGGCCCCCTGCACCATGGTGGAGGGATGTTTTTGCCTCCCTGGGCTCCAGAGGCTTTGTTCGAGCCTCCAGGAGGGCAAGAACAGCCTCCCCAGGCTCCAGAGGCCCTTTGGAGGCCGGAAACGGTCTTTCTGAACTTCCGGTAGGCCCATTTTTCACCCTCCCCAAGCCTCCATGCACACCCTGCACTTACCTGCATCCAAACCAGGACTCTTGGGGAGGGAGGGGTGGGGTGGGCGGGGCCAGCCAGGAGTGGGATTTGGGGGTTCTCCGAACTGCACAGAATCTTAGCTAGAGGTTCTCCTGAACCCCCAGCATCCTACCCGTCACTCCCCCTTCTCATTTTTGGAAAGGAGATTCAGCGTCGCTCTTGTCTCAAATAAAGGAGCGTGAAGTCCAAATGTGCTTACCCAGGTGAGCTTACAACCTTGTGTCATTCAACCTTGCCACTTTTTCCAACTCCCAGAATTCCATGCTGGCTGGGGAATTCTGGGAGCTGAAGTCCACACATCTTAAAAAGTTGCAAGTTTGGGAAACGCTGCCTTAACAGGAGTCCACCCCTTCCGTCTTAACGTGCCCCACCGCTGTTTTAAGAAAAGATTTCTTACCTGCTTTTCTTCTTGGGCTTACATTTGCACTTTCCACCTGGTGAGGGGTAGGAGGGATGAGAAGGACGACAATTAAAACAAGAAAAGGATGGGGCAAAATCACCCAAGACAGCTGATGTATCTAAGCCAGTTTAGCAGGCAAAACAATCAGCTTCAGTTCCTTCCTCTTCCTAGAGCAGCTAGAAAGCATCTAGTAGGAAGCAGGAGAGCCACTGTGTTGCAGTACTCTATGGTAGGGGTCTCCAAACTTGGCAACTTTAAGGCTTGTGGACTTCAACTCCCAGAATTCCCCAGCCAGAATTCTGGGAGTTGAAGTCCACATAACTTAAAATGGCTAATGTTGGGAAACACTGGGCTACATAGACCTGGCCTCTATTCCAGAAGACAATAAGATTCTGCTGCAACTCTTAAAAGTCCCTTTGTATATGGAAGATATTGACCAGATTCCGACCCTACGTTAAACCATAATTCAAATCAAACCCAGTTTATTACAAAGACTACCAGGACAAATAAAAACACTCAAGGAATAGCCAGTTAAAAATTCTAAAATAAACTAATAAATAACAGATAAAATCTATATTAAAATCACAAGTTGGCATCCAATCGGTCAGTTACACACGGAACTAACTATACTATAATATCAATCCGTAAAACTGTGAGGCCCATGGTTGTTAAAATACTAAAAGAAAGAGTAGTAATGTAGCAAAAAGAGTAGTAATGTAAAAGGGTTTGCTACATTAGTTGCGTTCAATACAGTGGTGGGTTGCCCCCAGTTCAGACCGGTTCGCCAGAACTGGTAGTAAAACCAGCGGGAGGCTCTGCCTACCGTCCCGGATGTCATCAGGAAGTTTCTGTACATGCACAAAAGCGCATGCACAGTCCCATTGCAAACCGGTAGTGACAGTAAATAGAAACCACCCCTGGTTCAATAGCTATGGTGGATTAGCTAAACCATCATTGTATTCCACCACGGCTGAGAGAAAACCAAGAGAGTTGCATCATGGCATGTTGGAGAGTGTGAATCCAATTGCAGGGAATCAGTGCCATAAGGGATTGCTGAACATCCAATAGCCCAAACTTGGTATGTCTCATGAATCCTGGGAATTGTTCAAATCACTCGCGTGTCATGGACTCCCCGTCTCTGCTCTGAAAAATCAGGGTTAACTGGAAAGCGACCGCAAATGTTTCTTTAAAGCCTAGCTCCCGTGGGGTTGATGGAGACACATTTGTTTCATTGCCAATGATTACACTGGGAGGTGGGGTAGTGGTCCTGTGAATAGGTCAAGGTCAAAACCCTGTTGTTCCCCCAGGCTGGGCTAGCAAGGTAAAGATTTTAATTGGGTTTTTAAAAATGGGATTTTAAATTTGGGGTTTTAAATTGAGCCTATTGTTTAATAATTAATTAATAATCATTAATAATCATTTAATAATTTTAATTATTTTTTAATTTTGTCTGTCTTTGTGCTTTTAATCAGGCTGTACACCGCCCTGAGTCCTTTGGGAGAAGGGCGGTATAGAAATAAAATAAATAAATAAGGGAGAAACCAACTCGTATTATAGGTGGTAGAAGATAGGAGTAAGTCGTTGTACCAACAGCAGATAATCTTCAATTTACGACCACAACTGAGCCCAAAATTTCTGTTGTTAACCGAAACAGTTGTTAAGGGAATTTCGCCCCATTTGACAAACTTTCCTAAGTGAATCACTGCCGTTCTTAAGTTAGTAACATGGTTGTTAAGGGAATCTAGCTTCCCCGTTGACTTGGCTTGTCAGAAGATCCCGAAAGGTGAACATGTGACGGTGGGACATAGCAACCGTCATAAATATGAGTCAGATGCCAAGGGCCTGAATTTGGGTCACGTGACCGTGGGGAAGCTACAACGGTCGTAAGTGTGAAAAACAGTCAAAAGTCACTTTTTTTCAGCACCGTTACGGTCACTAAATGAACTTGTAAGTCGAGGACTACCTGTAGTAGTTCTTAGCTCCTGGTGATTCCTCTTTTTGAAGGAGGAGGCGATGTATTTCACCCGGCTAGTCACAATCACCCTCATGTAATTTCCTACTCCACAACGGTGAGAGGGGACATTGTGTTTAAACAAAAATTAGTCCTTGACTTCAGGAAATTAAAAGTCTTGGGGTGGCTGTGGTTAATTCTTGGTGTTTGGGGTCGGTGTAAATCTATTTAAAGCATTTGCATCCCACCCAGCAGCCTGAAAGGCTTACAGATCAAATTACTTTTAAAAATAGCAGACCTCTATTTGGTTTGACAACTGTAAATAGAGAGAGAGAGAGGAGGGAGAGGAGAGGGAGGGAGAGAGAGAGAGAAGAGGAGGGAGGGAGGGAGAAGAGGGAGGGAGAGGAGGGGAGAGGGAAAGGGAGGGAGGGAGAGAAAGGATGGAGAGAGAAGGAGAGAGAGGGAGGGAGGGAGAGAGAGAGAGAAAGGGAGAGAGGGAGAGAAAGAAGGGAGAGAAAGGAGGGAGGGAGGGGGAGAGAATGAGAGGGAGGGAGAGAGAGAAGGAGAGGGAGGAAGAGGGAGAGAGACGGAGAGAGAGAGGGAGGGAGAGAGAGAAGAGGAGGGAGGGAGGGAGAAGAGGGAGGGAGAGAGAGAATGAGAGAGCGGGGGAGGGAGAGAGAGAGGGCAAAGGAAGAACAGAGAAACCAAACACCTACAATAATCATTTCATTAGGAAAGAATGAAAGGGTGGGAGGGCATGAATACTTCTTCTCAAGGATCACCATAAAATATTTCCAACTGAGAAAGGACATTTATTTAGCCCAGGGAAGAATCTGATCCTAAACGTACGTTATAAAACAATGCAACCCTCGAAGAGTCTTTTTTTTCTTATGAACAGCCAGACTGAAAGGACTCTTACACAGACAGCATTATTATTCCCCCGTCTCCCAGAATTTGTTCTCTTTCCCCTCGTTGTTGTTTCCACTTACTCAGGAGGATAACAATTCCCATAAAACACAGAATGCCTGCAAAGACCAAACCACTAATACGGAGCGACTTCCAATCTGGAAGAGAAAAGAGACCATTGAGACGTGTTTAGATTAGCAGCAAAGTCGGTCTTGCTCATTTCAATGCTGCCCACTTCACCAGAAAAAGCGGGGTGAGGGCATGGGCTGAGGAATTCCAGCTGGCTAAGGAAAAAAGACTGTGTTTAGGGACCATTTTTGTGGAAAGAAAAAAAAATAAATAACGTTCTTGAAGGAGATGCATGCAAAATAGGCCACACGAGTGTATGGATGGAGGAAACAGGCTGTTATGGGGTACAATCTTTCCCCATATTTTCCCCCTCCTTTTTATAAGCCCCACATCCACACACACGCTATTAAAACATTGCCGAGAATGAGATACACTTACCGTAATAAAAGGGGCTGTCCTTATCTGGATAAAGGAAAAGAAAGATAGTTAACATTCTGTTACCTGATGTTCTGACCCAGGCTTCCCGAGAGCATGAAGCAGACTCCTTGTCCCAACAAAAACCCTCTTTTTATTAAGTTACTGTGAATTCCTCTCGTTCACATCCAGCAAAGTCTTTCAAGGGAGAATTTACAGTCACAGACCTTATGTGGTTTGGAGACCTGCCAGGCCGATATCTTCAAAACTTGGCAAGGAGTCATGAACCAATTAAGCGAACTAACTTGTCTCCTGCAAACTCCACTCCCCTTTCGCTCCTCTTTTATTCCCTCTGGGAGGGGGCACTCATCATCCACCTGCGGCCTTACTCCCAAGTCGACCCTTGCTCTTTAGTTGTTCCCTTCGTCTGGCAACTCTGCCCATGTGCACACTGGGAACAGGCTCCAGCTGTTAGTCTGCCTCACTGATGTCTGACTCCGAAGGCAGTGACAACTGTCAGACGGCCCTGGCCTCCTCTCTGCCTCGGATGCAGAGCCCTCATCAGAGCCTTCCCCATGGCCCATGTTCCTCCCCAACCTCCTCACTATCCGAATCTATCTAACCCTAATCCTAACCCTAACCCCCCCCCTTGCTGTGGTGCAGGAGGCTGACTAGGCCACGCCCACCATGGCCATGCCCACCCAGCAACCAGGCAGAGAACCCCTTGCTAAAATTCTTGAAGTCCACCCCTGCTAACATCCATCTAGAAATTATACTAAAGCTGAGCAGGGACATCTATAGTCTACTTCAGAGATCTTCAAAGCGGTCAGCATTGACACACACGCACCCAACTGTCAATGGGATATCCAACGGATCGTTATCATTATTCATAATGCTATGAATTAAAGAAGTACAGTATTTATTAAATTATGTCCATATAATAAATGCTTAGGAGTTGACGAATCAAGAAGGCATCAATGAGATAAAGAGTTTGGGATCCCTGGTCTAATTTTTCATGATGAGCCACGGTGGCGCAGCGGTTAAGAGTGCAGTACTGCAGGCTACTTCTGCTGACTGCCAGCTGACTGCAATTTGGCAGTTCAAATCTCACCAGGCTCAAGGTTGACTCAGCCTTCCATCCTTTCGAGGTGGGTAAAACGAGGACCCAAAATTGCTGGGGGCAATAGTCTGACTCTGTAAACCGCTTAGAGAGGGCTGTAAAGCACTGTAAAGCGGTACATAAGTCTAAGTGCTATTGCTATTGCTATCTTCAGTAGAATTTCGAAGAGGTCTTCTGCTCTGTTTATAGGAAGCCACGAGACATCAGCCTATGAAGTTATACTCACCTATAGGGTCATTTGCCTTCAGAACAGGGAACCCTGCAAACATGAGACGGGGAAAAAAATATTATCGAGTGATGAGAAAAATATATCCCTTAATTTCTGCCTCCCAATTCTAAAGATGCTATTGAGAAGAGAAGGTATCATGCCAATGTAATAGAGAAGGGACCATCCCTTTCTCTACATCTCTTCTGCGCTACATCATTCACTGGCTAGGCGATGGCACTCATTGGCTCATAAAACATTCAGTCAAAAACAGTTCAATCACGCTGCCCAATTTTCTCAGGACTCCAGCTCCCTCAGGTCATGTCCCAAAGAAAGGATCAATCTCATGAAGGACTATGCCTATGTTCTCATGATTGGCTTAGCCGCATGAGATAAACATTCTAACTTTCTGGAAATGGATGGTAAATATTGGTTTTCAAATCCGGTTTCTACAAATCTACCACGGTCGTTGGATCTTGTCTGGGGAAAGGCAGAGAAGGATCTGAAAAGGTGATGCGGGGGTACTTATTACCTCTTTCCAATGGCAAGTATACCGCTTATAATTTAGGAAAACTGGTTGCTGAAAGTTGTTCCTTGCTTTGTGCAACCAGAGTTGTGAGACCACTAATCTTTGGGAGAAATAGAATTAGGGATAAAAGTTGGACATTAGCAGGGGGTGGGCTGCTGGGGGTTCGCAGGGGTTCAGGAGAATCTCTAGCTAAGATTCTGTGCAGTTCGGAGAACCCCCAAATCCCACTCCTGGCTGGCCCCGCCCACCCTGCCCCGCCCCTCCCACCCTGCCCCGCCCCTCCCAGGAATCCCCACGGGGCCCATTTTGGATGCGGGTAAGTGCATGGCGCACACGGAGGCTCGGGGAGGGCAAAAAATGGTCCTACTGGAAGTTCGGGAAGGCCTGGGGAGGCCATTTTCGCCCTCCCGGAGGCTCAAGAAAAGCCTCCGGAGCCCGGGGAGGGCAAAAGCACACACACACACCCCGCTGTGGTGCAGGAGGCTGACTAGGCCACGCCCACCATGACCACACCCACCCAGCAACCGGGCAGAGAGCCCCTTGCTAAAATTTTTGAAGCCCATCGCTGGACATTAGCCTGCCCCAAGGTGAAGGGAGCTATCTCTGTGATCACAGATTTATAAAAAAGGTCAGAAGGGCCGGCAGAACCTGGAGGCGGAATTAAAAAGGGATCTGCCTAGAAACCTTACATAGCCACAAGCAACTAAGTCCAACCCGCCATAAATTCCTCTGGACCTTATCTAATTTCAAGCAAGTGCTAATTGTTAGTTGGGAAGACTCTCTGTGCCTAGGCAATAAATCAGTTTAATTGGGTGGACCTGACCTTTTGCGCCTGACGGATTCCCAAGAATACTCTAGTCTAAATCTACCCTAGAGAAGACCAAAGATGAAGAATGGCAAGCATATTTACCAATCAACAGACAAAGGAGGATATTCATGGCGATGGATTTCATCTTGGTATAGAATGAGATCTAGGGGGGGGAAAGAAAAAACAACGGCCAATTTAGATTTTTTTAATTAGCCAATTCCAGGTTCTTAGCTAATCTAATTAAATAAGATTATCTATCTATCTATCTATCTATCTATCTATCTATCTATCTATCCATCCGCTATCTCTCTCTATCCATCCATCCACATCTATCTATCTATCTATCCATCCATCCATCCATCCATCCATCCATCCACATCTATATTTATCTATCTATCTATCTATCTATCTATCCATTCTCTATCTCTCTATCTCTCTCTCTATCCATCCATCAATCCATATCTATCTCTCTCTCTCTCTATCCATCCATCCATCCATCCATCCAGCCTCTCTCTCTCTATCCATTCATCCATCCACATCTATATTTATCTATCTATCTATCCATCTATCCATTCTCTATCTCTCTATCTCTCTCTCTATCCATCCATCCATATCTATCTATCTATCTATCTATCCATCCATCCATCCATCCTCTCTCTCTCTATCCATCCATCCATCCACATCTATCTATATCTATCTATCTATCTATCTATCTCTCTATCTCTCTATCTTTCCATCCTTCCTTCCTATCTCTATCTATCTATCTATCTATCTATCTATCTATCTATCTATCTATCTTGCAGTGTATTCATTGTTAATACATTTAAATAAATGGAAAATTGTAATCAAGGGTCTAAATATTTGCCCTAGTTATATCTCCTGGGATCCTTTCTTCTTTCTGACTAAAGAAAGAAGTTTCTTTTTTATCCATCTTAGACCCAGGTCTGGGCAATGAATGACGTTCAAGATTAGCCATAACACAACCTTATTTCCACCACATTTCATAATAGCAAATTCCAAAACTGAATTATTTCTTTTTGTCTCTCTTGATTCTTCAAAGATTTCATAGCCCGATCTTCTGATGCTAGTGTTTTGGGAGGAGGGAAACATCTTCTTCTTGTCCATTTTATTCTCATGGAATAATTCAAGACTTTAGGGCTGTGCATTTGTGCAGAATTGTGACAGAGGACAAATGGGCAGGTTTCGTGACCCAACACCAGAAGCAAGACTCTTAACGCAGAATCAGGGATGTGAGATTTTTGATCTTGCATCTAGAACTGGTCTACAACTGCCCACATCCCTCATTCTAAGAGAATGCTGATGGTTGGCTTATCATCAGCTACAATTCAAAGGTCATTTTTTCATTATTCTTGCACAGACCATCTTATCTAAACTGATGCCTCTATAAGATTACAACTTCCTTGTTGCCAAGCTTGTTTGGCAAACTGCCACCGTAATCAAGAAGAATGGGAATTGTAGTCCATCATGTTTGAAGAATATCAGATCGGGGAAGCCTCAGCCAGTCATTGCCAAATAGTCTTTTATAACTGTCTGGGGTCAAAAGATTTTCCAAAGAAGAATTGAGCTGCTAGTTTAAAATTCTGTTTTAAAGTTGAGAAAGTGGAAATTGAAGAAGCTGACAATAATTAGTTCTCCAATGTAAAGCTATAACTAAAACAAAATATTAAAAATAAAAATAAAAATAAGTACAGCAACTTAAGATTCACCAAATAGCCCAAGCAGCATTTCATAACATTTCTGAAAAGAATTCTTTTAACCTACCAGGGGAAAAAAGTAACGTATTATTTTTATTTCTTAAATGTATTTATTAAATTTATATGCCGCCCATCTCACTAATAAAGTGTTGCTTAGCCGAAAGCATTTTTGAATGCACAATGCACAACTTAATACGGAATAACAGTTTCTGACAACGCATTCAATCATATCTTGATTTAATATTAAACCCTTAAGCCATCATCAATACATTTAGCTATAAACCACTGTTTACAGTTTACAATGGCTGGATTCATACAACACCATATACTGGCTTAGGTTCATGCTGTGAATCTCACCTGAGGTGCTTCCAGATTGTCCTTTCCTAATAATATCAAACAGGATTTTTTTCACGCACACAAAACCCTTATCGAGAAATAGCCTTGAAAATGCATTTTGATGAAATAGATGCCACTGTTGTGACTATCTCAGAAGGACTCAAATGCAGAGGTGATGATCAGAACGTTTGGGAAGATAAATATGGGAGAAACCACCAAGGAAGGACAAAAAAGAGAATCAGTCACAGTACATCGCTATGTATGCCTGCAGCCAAGTAGAATCTGTAACTGCCTAACAAAGGTGGCACAAAGGCAGAATATTCCAAACAGAATTAATGCTTTATCGGTGTTCTAATCTTTCAGGATACCCATGGGGACCAAATGTTAATAGTCCGGTGAAGAGAAGACATTTTTGAATGATGAATTGCTTTGGAACAACCCAACCCCATTTTGACTACTCCAGATGTATGGTCTTCTATTCCCAGAATTCCCCAGAATGATCATGTCGGCTCGGGAATTCTGGGAACTCGTTTGATGCATCAGCTGAGTCTTTTGAAGTTTATCTTGTTGGAAGAAATGTCCATCTGGATTCGGTTCCAAATGGGGAAAAAGATACTGGATTCATCAATGTTGCTTGGAAAGAAGGATTATTGATGAACAGGGTCGCATGGCTTGAGAACCTGAGCAGAGATAGGCAGAGATGCTTAGAGTGCCTGGATTTTATTTTTATTTTTTTTATTTTTTATTTTTTTTAATTTGATTTATATGCCGCCCTTCTCCGGAGACTCAGGGCGGCTTACAATGCGTTAAACAATAGCCTTCATACTTTTGTATATTTTATACAAAGTCAGTTTATTGCCTCCACAATCTGGGTCCTCATTTTACCTACCTTAGAAAGGATGGAAGGCTGAGTCAACCTTGAGCCTGGTGAGATTTGAACTTGCAGTAATTGCAGGCAGCTGATGTTAATAACAGTGCTTTAGTCTGCTGCGCCACCAGGGCTCTTATGCCCTCTGTTGGGCTTTGAATTTGAGTTTGTGTTCTGATTGGTTGTCAGACTCCCATGGGGTCATGCAGGGGTAACTTTGTAGGTTGTCTTTTGAGTCCCAGGCTTGGTTGACTCTTGCTGGGTGATGAAGTAACGAAAGTGTCACTGTGTTTTTGTATTTACCAGATGAACTCTTATTTTTGAACTTTCAGACTTACCGTAGCTTGCCAAATTCTTATCTTTAAGCTAACTGCACATGTCCACATTCCTTCATTTTCTTCAAATCTTCCTTTGTTCTCCGGCCAGGAGAGGTGGCCGGAAAGCTTTGCCAAGATGTAATTAATTAGCTAGTAAGATGTTTTATTTTCTTTATAACAAATAAATGAGTTTTTCTTAGAAAATATATCTTCGGGTTTATTTTCTTTAAGTATACTTCAAGGGAAAAGCCATTCTCTAATCAAGGTGCAATTACCCAAAAGCAGAATGGGATTAATTGCCACCCTGACAGAAAGGGCTTTGGGATTCCTATTATGCTCTGCCTGAAGGAGGTAGATCTTTGTTATGTAGAATAGACTGGCCCAGGCCTTAATGGCCCATTGACAAAGGTGAAGGGGGGTGGGGGCTGAGTTTCTGCCTCCCTTTTAGGAGAAATATTCTGACCTTTGAATGTTTTCTAAAATATCTCATTTTCCTAGGAGAGGGGTGGGTGCTAACTTCCTACACTTAACCCATTAATTCCTAACTTAACAACTGCAGTAATTCACTTAACAAATGTAGCAAGAAAGGTCGTAAAACGGGGCAAAACTCACTTAACAAACGTCTCGCTTAGCAAAGTAAATTGTGGGCTCAACTGTGGTCGTAAGTCGAGGACCAGCTGTATTATAATCAGCACTGAAAACTGGATAGTACCTTCACGCAAGATTTGGGATGAAGAGCCAAGCTGCAAAGAATGTTGGAAGGGCTGAAAAGAAACCCTGAGAAGAATGGTTTAAAAAGAAAAAAAGAAAAAAGGAACCAAGAAGGTAACAGAAAGAGAAAATATTTGATCTGAATGGGGCTAATCCTGAGGGACTTTTATATTAAAATGACTGGCTGCAAAGGATCAATCAAAGCTAAATCACTGAAAAGAAAGAGCAGGTAGGAATTGTTGAGAATCAATAAAGGCAAACGTGACAAAATGCCAAATAACATTGGTAAGAATCAGCACCTTTGTAGATGTAGAAAAGGGGGCTTTTTCACACTTACGACCATTGCAGCATCCCCGTGGTCAGGTGATCAGAATTCAGACTCTTGGCAACTGACTCATATTTATGACTGTTTGCAGTGCCCCGTGGTCATGTGATCCCCTTTTGCAGCCTTCGGACATGCAAAACCAACGGGGAAGACAGATCCGTAGACAGATTGATTTTTTAAATGTTATCTAATTCTGGGTTTTATTTAATTGACCAAACTAAGTAATAATTTTAATTAGCAATTTTATGATGTTTGTGTGTCTGTATTTTTCTTGACTGTACACCGCCTTGAGTCCTACGGGAGAAAGGCGGTATAGAAATATAATAAATAAATAAATAAATAAATAAATAAATAAATAAATAAATAAATAAATAAATAAATCCGTAATTCACTTAATAAATGTAGCAAGAAAGGCCATAAAATGGGAGGAAAATCACCTAAAAATGTCTCGCTTAGCAACAGAAAGTTGGGGCTCAGTCGTGGTCGTAACTCGAGGACTACCTGTGCTATCATCAGCATTGAAAACTGGAGGGGGGCCTTCATGCAAGATTTGGGATAGAGAGCAATGCTGCAAAGAATGTTGGAGGCTATTGCTGGTTTTGTGTCCAAAGCCACCGGGTGCCAAAGCAATAATCTCATTGGCAAAACAGAGAACAATGATCTCCTTGGAAAACTCCGGTTTCTAGCTCATTATGACAGCGTTCTTGTGAAAGAAAAACAAGTTACAACAAGCTCAGGAAGCCTCTTTGGTTGTAAGACGGCCAGCCAGCTCTGATTATGGCTGCTTTAATCCCAAAATGTAAAGCGTTTTTTTTTTTTTTTTTTAAATGTTCCGCAAATCAAGAGAGGCCAAAGTGCCAAGTTTAAAAAGAGATTGTGGAACTACTAAAAAGTTGTGTTATGAAACTGTGTTACGGCTTATAGCAATAATGATCAACACAGACTCGGTTGTTGTTGTTTTTTAAAAAAGACAAAACCAGGACAACAATGTCAATCATGGATTTTAGAATAAAGTGGAAGGTTTTACAGCCAACCAGAAAATAGGTTAATTCAATAAGCAGTGAATTCGGTCTCTCTCTCTCTGTATTATGCATGTCTCTACAAGTAGGAAGGTAATTAGCTTTTCTTTCATAAACCAGTTGAGGACCCAGTTTGTGGGGGCAATAAGCTGACTTTGTATAAAATATACAAAAGTATGAAGGCTATTGCTTAACGCATTGTAAGCCGCCCTGAGTCTCCGGAGAAGGGCGGCATATAAATCTAATTAAAAAAAAAAAACGCTTCTGAGAAACACAGGTTCAAATCTCCACCAGAAACCACATGTGCATGCTTAACAGATATGAATATTAGATTTAACTATGGTTTACTTATGTGTGGTTTGTTGACAAAAGCAGCACTGGCTACGTTTGAACAACACTCCAAAAGTTAAAAACCATGAGCTACAAATCGACGGATACTCATGACATACCAAATCAAACAAAATCAACACATATTATCGGTCAAGGAAATAACTTTATGGCGGCTTGTCCCGCAAACGGTAGTTACTACAAACTATGATTTAGCCAAACAATTGCCTGCAGCCTCTGAAGCTCACCTTCCCACCATATAGCCTTGATTCGTAAGAAAGGAATTGAGGAAAGTTCCTTCAACTAAGTCAGGGGTGTCAAATTCGATTTCATTGAGGGCCACGTCAGGGTTGTGTTTGACCTTGGGGAGTTGGGGTGGGCGTGGCCAGGGTGGGCGTGGCCAGCTCAACATCACTCGTGTCGGGGGCGCCTGTGGGGGCCCAAGTGCTCTGCCACCGAAAACAGGCTCCCAAGTTCCATTTTCACCTGCAACGGCTCCTGCAACCCTCTGCCACTGAAAACAGAGCTCGGGAGCGCTGTTTTCACTGGCAGAGGCACCGCAGGCTGGTCCTTTGCTGTTTCCAGGTGGCCCCGTGGGCCAGATCTAAACACCCCGTGAGTTGGATCCAGTCTCCGAGTCTTGAGTTTGACACCTCTGAACTAAGTGAAACCACTGAGCAGTAGGTACACAACATCTGGACGTGTTCCAAATGTCCATGAGTCACAACTAATGCCACTGTCAACAGCTGTGTGACTTGTACTCCGAACATCCAGGTAGTCCTTGATTTTCAACTGTTCATTTAGTGATTTGTTCAAAGTTACAACAGTGCTGGAAAAAGCGACTTATGACCAATCCTCACATTTACAACCGTCACAGCCCCTCCATAGATGATCACAATCTAGAGGGTTGGCAACTGGCTCGCACTTATGGACAGTTGCAGTCCATAGTTGGCAACTGGCTCGCACTTATGGACGGTTGCAGTCACATGATCGCCGTTAGTGACCTTCCCAGTCAATTTCTGATAAGCCAAGTCAATGGGGAAGCCTGCAGGAAACATCACAATTCGCAGTCATGTAATGTCTCCCTTAATCATCATCATCATCATCTTTTAATGACTCCGTAATCCGTTGCGGGTTGGAGTCTGGGCAACTGAATGGAGTTAGCTGAGTGTTTACTAGCCGGATGCCCTTCCTGTCACCAATGCAGAGTTTTGTTCAGCAGATATATTCTAAGTGGGCTCAGAGAGAGAAATATCAGCCTCTACCTTGGATCAAACTCACAGCCTCCTGAGTGTGAGGCGAGCGCTCCACCTCTAAGCCACCACACCACTCCAATGTCTCCCTTAATGACTGATGCAAAGAGAGGATAAAATTGGGGGACGATTATGTGATGCCTCGCTTAACGACCAATTTTACGGTCTCATTTTGTGTCGTAAGTCAAGGGCTCTCTGTACAGAAAACACAGGCTGATTATTCCTGTTGCGTAGGGCTGTCATTTACAGCCTCCTTCCAATTTCGCAAAGGAATCGGAGATGGTATTTTCAAGTTGCTGCAGGCAAAATGCACAATCAGCGTCTCAGCTTGTGTACGAGAGCCGCCCGGTAGCAAAGCTCACACCAGGAAATAAAATAACGTAAAAGCAGGCTGCCACTTTGATAAACGTATACAATGTGTTAACACTTGCAGAGAATAAAAATAGCTTTAAAAGGCCTGGCCTAATGAGAATTGCTGGAAAGTGTCAGCAGAAAAGAGAAGT